AAAATAGGAGACTAACTCCCAAGAATGGCGAAGATTAGTACCAGGAATTTTGCTTCATGGCTTGGAGGCAAGCCACACATGCTGGGGGAAAAGGCAGCCCAGATAGGAAAGGGAGCACCAAATAAAGGGTGTTGGGAGGATCCTCCCAGGATGGGAGAAGCATGCTGAAAGTAGACTACAGACCAAACATGATTGCCACTCAATGCCTCTTTTGCAAACCATAACACCCAAAAGAAGAGAGAGAACAAAAGAGAATGACCTGCCACAGAGGCAGGGTGGGATGGGGGTGGGGGGATACTGGGATCCGTGGTGGTGAGAAATGGGCACTGGTGGAGGGATGGGTATTTGATCACTGTATAATTGCCCAAGCACAAAATTTGTAAGTCTATAACTGTACCTCATGGTGTCTCACTAATAAAAATTTTTAAAAAATTTAAAAAAACGCAGCCTGAATGCAACCCTCATTAAGTTACCAATAGTATTCTCAGAAATACAACAAAAATCATAATATTTAAATAGAATAACAAAAGAATTCTCAAATAGTTAAAAAGGTCCCAAGGAAAAAATGGAAGTACTGTATTCCTGACTTCAAACTCTATTATATAAAACTCTAATAGAAATCAAAATACCATGGCATTTGAATAAAAGCATACATTCAACCGAGTTAATAACCAAACTATATAAAGTACTCACACTACTCAAAAACAATCCAAAATCAATACAATAATGAATCTGAGCACTTTTCCTAAGAAGATATAGCCAATAAGCATATAAAAGTATGTTCATCATCTCTTATTATTATGGGTATGCAAATCAAAACAGCCATGAAATATCATCACTCATTTTTAGAATACCCATTATCAAAAAGATAAACAAGGATTGTATTGCTAAGGATGTGAAGAAACCCAAACACTTTTTTTGAGGGGAGTAGTAGGGGGTAGGTTAGGGGGGCACACCCTGCAGTGCTCAGGGGTTACTCCTAGCTCTGCACTCAGGAATCACTCCTGGTGCAAAGACTTGAGGGACCAAATGAGATGCTGGGGGTCAAATCCGGATCTGCTACATACAAGGCAAGTTATTTACCTGCTGTATTATTTCTCACACCCCAAACGAAACTCTTTTAAGATGTTGGAAAAGAAACCAAGCTATCATTATTTGCTGATCATATGATAATATACATAGAAAATCCTAAAGACTCTAAACCGAAACTTTCAACACAAAAAACTAGTTAAATTAACATTAAATTAACATGAACAAAAATCTGTTACATTTCTATATGCAAAAAATGAACTGGAGGAAAAAGAAATCAAAAGAATGACCCCATTTAAAATAATATCTAGGCTTGCTCTTCAAGCACATTTTCTTTCTTGAATGACCATGTATTACAACTCTTTCTCTCCTGTCACATCTTTCTAAGCAAGTTTCATTCAATAAAAACTATCTTGCTTCACTAAAAAAGTAAAACAAAATAGCATCCAAAAAACCAAGTATCTAGGAATTGACAGAGGATGGAGAAACTAAGTCATTCTATAAGAAAAAGAGAACAAAAAAATGAAATAGAAAAATTTTCCACCATCATGAATTAAAAGAATTAACACTGTCAAAATGATCATCCTACTCAAAGCATTATACACATTCAATGTAATCTCTATCAAAATACTAATAGCAGATTTAATAGTCAAAGCAATTTTGAGAAAACAAGATGGGAGGCACTGAAGATCCTGACTTCATACCTGTAAGCTACAGTAATCAAAAGACTGTGGCACTAGAATAAAAGTAGATTTTAACACCAAAGGAATAAAACTGAAACCCCTAGAGGTAAAACCTCAGCTATATGTACAGTTAATACATGACATAGGAAATGGTGCATGAAGAAGAACACAGAAAGCCTCTTATATAAATGGTGCTGAGAAAACTTGATAGCCACATAAAAATACAAAAGTGAATGCCTATCTTACACCATGCACAAAAGTCAACCAAAGTGGGTTAAAGTTTCATATTAGGTAAAATAGTTCATTGTGGAAATAAAAATACAATGGGGAAAACATAAGCAATACTCTCTGGGAGATCTAACTCAGAGGTGTCCTCAATGAGTTGATACCACTGGCTAGGAAAACAAAAGCAAAAATAAATTAATGAGATTACATCAAAGTAAAAAGTTTTTGCTCCAAAAAATAAGTTATGGGGTCCAGAGTGATAGTACAGCAGGTAGGGCATTTGCCTTACACACAGATGACCCGGGGTCAATCCCTGGCATCCCATATGGTCCCCCAAGAACCTCCAGGAATAATTCCTGAGTGCAGAGTGAGGAGTAACCCCTTTGCATCGCTGGGTGTGACCCCAAAAGCAAAAAAAAAAAGAAACTATGGCTAAAATATGACACCCTACTAAATAGAGACAGTATTTGCACACTACACATCTGATCAGGAGCCAAGACATATAAAGGAGTCACAAAGCTCAACAACAATAAAACACCCTAACAAAAAGTAAGGGGAGGGGCCGGAGCAATAGTACAGTGGATAGGGCACTTTCCTTGTACATATTTGACCTAGGTTTCATCCCCAGCACCACAAGCCCTTCTAGGAGTGGTCCCTGAGCTCAAAGTCAAGAGTTAGACCTCAGCACAGCAGGGTGTAGCCCCAGTAACAAAAACATCAAAAAGTCAGGAGAGGAAACAGACACTCCCAAGAACTGGATGACCAGCAGGCATATAAAAAAAGTGTTCTTCATCACTTATAACTAGGTAAAAGCAAATCAAAACAATGAGATGTTATCTACTACTAATGAGAATGGGTACTATCAAAAAAGTTCAGAAACCACCAATGTTTGGGAGAATACAGTAAAAAAGGAACCTTCATTCACTATTAGTGGAATAGTTATATGGTTCAGCCTCAATGAACTATAGTATGGAGATTTCTCCAAGAATTAAAAATAGAACATCCATAATGACACAGCAATTCCATTTCCTGAATTCTATCCAAGAACACAAAAACTAGCTCAAAATGATAGATGCACAGCTAGGTTGTTTGAAACACTATTTCCAATAATTAAGATCTGGAAACAACTTAAATGTCCTACATTAGGTATGTGGATAAAGAAATTGTGATATATACACATACACTGGAATACTACTCAGCTCCACGATGAAATATTGCCTTTGCTAGTACTTGGATAGAACTAGAAGAGTCTCATGTTAAGCAAAAGTAAACGAGAGGGAGAAAGACAAATACTAGATGATCTAATTCACATTTAGTTTATAAACAAAGCAAGGGAACAGACACTGCTTAATGAAAACAAACCCTTGGACTTTGACAACAAAACTGAGTTCACTGAACAGTGGGAGGAGAGGTTTGAACGTGAGAAAAGAAGAGACAGACTAGAAGTGGTGGAGGATCTCTGACACTTGGGTGTAGGTGGGGGATGGAGGTATAGTTAAGTTGTACATAAAAGTACAAATATTAACACCATTGTGACCATTTTACCTCAATTAAATAAAAATCTTTCTAATTAAAAAAAATGGCATTCTTTCATTTACAGCATGCATAAACCTACAGAATACTAAGTGAAAGCCAGATGGGGAACAACAAACACACCAAGATTTCACTCATACATAGAAGATAAAGAAACAGGAAAAGCTAGGGATATAACTCAGCAGTAGAGCATTGACATGTGAAGCTTTGGGTCTGATCTCCAGCATCATAAACAAAAATGAACAATACTGTAAGTCTTAAGTTTTAAGAACAAAACGGTAGAAATTAGAAAAGAAGAGGGCAGGATGTGGGAAGTCAGGTAAAAGGCGTCAACTGTATGGTGAACAATGGAAACTACACTTTTGGTGGCAAACACTATATATTTAGCTATTGATTTACAATGCTATACATCTAAAGCTTACATATGCTACTTCAGCTGAAAAAAACATAATAAAGTAAATAGATGTAATAATGCTTCTTCATATTCTTAATCATAATAAATAGTCACAATGATGAACAGACACAATTATATATTAATACTGAATCATAACAGCATCATTTGTGAGCCAAGCTATGAAAATACAATTACAAAAAACACAAGTGCCCTTTTAGACACAAAATGTAATTGCCATAAATGGATTACTAATTCTGGATTAACAGTCTTAGAGAACTTTTTGGGGAAAAAAGCAAAAGGTAAATTTTAGTGCAATATTATCTGTATAACAGCTTTTCCTTGTAAAAGACTGAGCAACAAATTACAGCAAAAGTTCTGGTCAACAATACATAAAATGTGACATTCAAAAAGCAATATATAAAAGAATTTAATCTCATCATAAACCATGAGCACATTGAGCACAGTCTCCATTTTAGCTTAAAATTTTGACTTAATAATAATGAAAAATCTAACTTCTCTAGCCAGAATGCTTTGTACCTTTATGACAGACAATGGTTAACCAGAAAGATGTAAAGAAAACATTCAAGATTTAAGCAGTATTCTTAGTTTCAGTTCTTTTGTATTTTGGAAACTTACCTGTCTCTTTTTAAACCACTGAGAATTTCACATATATTGCAAAAATAACCCTTATCAACAGGTAAACTCAACATCACTTAATTCAGGGGTTCTGATAGTATTAGAGTTCTTAAGTATTTTGCCAAATTAACTTCTAAAGTAAAAAAAAAACTTCTCACTTAAAAAAACCATATTATTCAATATATCAGTTACAAATTACCTGGGTAAATTTAAGTGTCAACAAGCTGTCATTTATTTATAAAACCTTTCTGAAAATGTTACTCTAGTAGGCATTGAATTCAAGTGATTCAGAAAAATTTCTCCGCAAGTAGAAACATATCAAGATTTCTTTTTCCATTTCCAGTAGCAGGAACATATCTTCATAGTCATCTTGCAAGTATTTAGAAAAAAAACAAAAAGGAAATTATTTGGAAAATAAAAAATATTTAATACAAATTGGAAATTCTATGAGTTGCATGTTTTACCCAGATAAATACAAAGAAATGTCCACTTAATCTTACCCTTGCAGCATCTAATAGCTGTCTTGAATTGCCATTCCCTATTCTCTGCCATGTGGCATATCTTAATGTCTCTGGGAGCTGATGAAGAAAAAAAAGAGCACAGAAATTTAAGATCACACAATATTCAAAGATTTCTTTTATTATTCTTATATATACATAAAATCATAAACAATGTTAAAGATAGTAAAACTTTTAATATGTCTAAAATGATAAACCTGTCATAAAGCATAAAGTATACTACTCATTAAAAATGTCAAATTATATTTTTGTATCTCTCTCTATAGGTTTCTTTGTCCTTATTTTCAAAATACTTCTTTAAGAAAATATATTTAACATTTAATATACTTAATTCCATCACTGTTCTACTACATGATACTTAGGATCTGTTTCCTTTTCACTTTTTATCAGAATGTTAAATTTAGATATTATTAACAATATCAGTTTTGACAAATACTCCTGATAGACTCCAATGAAAGATTTCTTGAGTCAATATTTTTGTCTTGATGATGTTACAAAAGTACAAATAAAATAACATAGGGCCAGGACATAGCTCATGTGGTAGAACACATGCTTAGCATGTGTGAGGCCCCCATTTTTAATCCCAGTGCCTCAAGTCCCCACCCCTAGTATCACTGGTACTGCCCTGGTGCCACTTTCCTAGCATTATGGGGAGCATTCCCAAGGGTCCCTAAGAATCACCAAGTATAACCCTAAAAAAGAAAGAGTAAAGACCTTCCCGAGTTAATGCCTGAATACCAGGTAGACATCCATGAGATGGATATACATCCTTCTAAAGTACACTTTTCCTGAGGAGAAATTTGATTTAAGTTTGAAAATTTCTTGCCTCTCCTAATGGAAGCTGTGAGCTGTAGAAAAAATGGACTATTGAATATATAAAAGTTAGTTTCTATACACTACAAATAGCAAACACCCAATAAACAAGAAAATCTCCATACAGAACGTCGCTAAACAAATTGAGAAAATAAATTTAGCTGTTTACTAAAACATAAAAGCAGCTGATTTCTGCCCATACATCTTTATAAACACATAAGCCATTCTATGAATTATAAAAATTTCAAAAACAGGAGCCAGGGAGATAGTACAGTGCTTACATTATTTGTTCTGCACATGGTCAACCCTAGTATAATCCCTGGCATTGCACACTGGCCCCCTGAACAGAGGAGTGACCCTGTGAGCAAGGGTTAGCACTAAGTACTACTGAGTGTGGTCCAAAAAACAAAAGAAATTCAAAACTACCAATAACTTGTACACTTTCTGCTGAACTCAAGATCCTATACCAATCCATGTACACTCAAACCTCACTCTGATCCATCCACAGTTAATGATGTCTTTCTGCTGCATAACAACTATTTTCCTCTCTGCCTTTCCCATATCTGTGTCTCATACAAGCTTTACTGCTCATTTCTATGGTACCCATAAATGCCCAATTCAAGTAAATGCATACCAAGCAAGACGCTACCCATGTTTATAAACACATACAAAATTCAATCTTTCCCTTCAAAAGCTGCTGTTATTTCAAGTAAATAACTATTTACCCTCTCTCCTCACTCTCAAAACTATATTATATATGGCAAGTAGGTAAAAGATGAATACTGGTGATTCACTGTAATTAAGAGCACAATCATACATTCTGAAATGAGTCAAAATGAAAACTTTTTTTCTCATATCTAAATCCTTAATAGTATCTACAGAACCCATTCTGAATGTTCAGCAATTTCTTTGTCCTTCTCTAATAAAATCATTTCCCCTTACATATCAGAATTCAAGATAAAAATATTTAATGTTCATATTCAAACTCAACTAGTACTAAAAGAGCATTGTTAAAATTATTAACTATTTCAGGCATACAAGTTGAGAAAACAATAAATGCGCACTTAAAAATCTGCCAAAGAAATGACAGATGAAAAATAGTCCCCAGTATCCTCTTTCATGGGTCACACCCATAAGCAACCCCTGCCAGCGCCAGATAATCTCCTCATCGGCCACCCTTCAGAATTCACGGCTGCTTCTCCCAGAAGGGAGCATAAAATGAGGCCCCCATAACCATGTCACCAAACTCCACACCAAGCTGTTTTCACTTAGGGTGCCCCCAGAGGGGGGATGGGTGAGAGTCCTCCCCGCTCCAAGGGACCCAGCCCTGGCAGCCGACCTCCACTATCCAACCACCACATGCTCAGGCCGAGCCTCACACATAAGTTAACATATTCCTGGACCATACGGCCAAGACATATCATAAGACACTCCCTGCCCATTTTCCATAATTACCACACCGTATTTAATGGGGTTCAGACAGTAGGCAACAAATCAGAGGGAAATATATATATGTATATATATATTATATATATGCACACATACACATATATGTGCCTCTCGGAGAGCTCGGCAAGCTACTGAGAGAATCCCGCCCATACGGCATAGCCTGGCAAACTACCCACAGCATATTCAATATGCCAAAAATAGTAACAATAACAGGTCTCATTTACTTGACCCTGAAAGAGCCTCCAATCGTTGGGAAAGACAAGTAAGGAGAAGCTGCTAAAATCTCACGGCTGGGATGAATGGAGACGTTACTGGCACCCACTCAAGTAAATCGATGAACAATGGGATGACAGTGACAGTGACAGTGATCCTCTTTTAAATGTCATGCCATCCATGTTCCCCTGAAAGAATCAGCACTAATTATATAAAACAACTCTCATTGAAAAAGAGAAAATATCAATCACATTGTGGGCTAACTCCTTAAGAGGCAAAGTTCAACCACTATTTGAATAACACCTCTGGAGAAAATGTTGTGAGTTCTAAACAACAGATTTACAGATATTTCCAAGCTGAATTGGAGGGTGGGGCATTTTTTACTGTGAACTCCCCCACAAAACACTGCACTGATCCCTAATGCGTAGTATGACAGTATTTAGAGCTAGGGTCTATAAGGAGGTGACCAAGATTGGATGAGTTCAGAAAGGTATGATGAGTCAATAGGTTTGCTGCCTTATTTTTTAAAAAAAGTAGAAAACACCAGATGTTCTCCCGAATTTTTCCCATCTTTTTCCTAGGCTCCTTGCATTTTTACACACTCCAATCTTATCCCCACCCCCTCCTTCATGAAAATTTAATTCTATTATCTGTGTCCAACAGTTTGTCTATTTTTGTCTGCTCATCAATTTTATATCCTTACTTTTCACACATAGGTCAACTCATCCAAAACTTGTCTTTTTCCCTTCTAACTAATTTTTGCTTTGTGTAATTCCCTCAAGCCACTTCCATTTTGTTGCAAGTGACAAATTTTCATCTTTTTTATAGCTGAATGGCATAAAAGTACATTTCCTTATTGTATAAAAGTATGTTTCCTTATTCAATCATCTACTGATGAATACTTCAATATCTGAATTATTGCAATAAATACTGGACTGGAATAAATATGATTTTTTGGTTCATATTTTCATATTATTTGGATAAAGGCAACCAAAAGTGAGATTTCTGGACCATATGGCAGCTTAAGTAACCTCCACAGCATTTTCTAAAGTGGTTGTACCATTTTACATTCTCTCCCACAGACAATGCAAGACAATGCATTAGAGTTCCCTTTTTACCACTATCTGTCCAATACTAGCTTTTATTGCAGCTTTTCATCGAAGCAATTCTCATATATCTGAGGTGCTATCTCATTATGGTCTTAATCTGCATTTCACTGGTGATCAACTATGATGAAAGTTTTTTATATACCTATCAACCATCTGTATGTCATCTTTTGAGAAGCATCTTTTCAAATCTGCCAGATTTTTAATTGGGTTGATTTGGTTTTTAATTAAGCTGTGTAAGTTATTTATATACCTTGAAGTTTGCAGATATATGATGTGCAAATATCTTCTCCCATACATTAGGCAGGCTTTTTATTCTGTTTGTATTTTTCTTTCACTGTAAAAAGTTTTTCATTTTAATGTAGCACTGTAGCACTGTCCTCCCATTGTTCATCGATTTGCTCGAGTGGGCCCAGTAACGTCTCCATTGTGAGACTTCTATTACTGTGTTTGGCATATCGAATATGTCACAGGTAGCTTGCCAGGCTTTGCCGTGTGGGCGAGATACTCTCGGTAGCTTGCTGGGCTCTCCGAGAGGGGCAGAGGAATCAAACCTGGCTTGGCTGGGCCGGTTGCGCACAAAGCAAATGCCCTACTGGTAGAAAGACATTACAGGGGTAAGGCACTTGCCTTGCACACAGAGGACCCCAGTTAACTCCTTGGCACTTCATATGGTCCCCTGGTCAACACCATGTGTGATATCTAAACACAGAGCTGGAGTGGCCCAACACCCCCCGACCCCCACCAAATCTTCCAGCTTAATGCAGTCCCAGTGATTTACTTTTATTTTCCCTTGCGCATGGGGTCAAATCCCAAAACACAACTCTTATGCTAATGTCAAGCATAATATGAAGCACAATGTGAAGCACAATGCATTTGTAGTATACAAATTTTACCTCTGCTTCTAAAACCTTGAACCTTTCACTTAAAAGTGAAGGTAGGCAAAAAAGAAAAAGACAATTATGCGATAATTTAGAAATTTAAAGGGTTTGACTGAGCTCCCTTTGAATTATGAAATTCCATGGCTTCACTGGAATAAAATAAAAAGACTGCTGTCACTGACTATTTAAAAGTCTTAACTGAGAGGAAAGTGCACCTGACTTACAAGTGTGAGGCCACAAGTTCAAAATCCAGTGCACCCACTCAAGCCACGGATGGTTTTGGCAGCTCTACTATTTGGATTCCCCAGTGCCACAACAGTGTGTGGTCTCAGACCTACTACAGTCAGGTATGTGTAAGTACTGCAATTAAAGTGTGCAACCCTGGCAAACATCACAACTTTGAATGTGCTACATCTGCAGCCAGGAGTGACACCGCTGGAGAACAATACAACTGAATGTGTCAGCATCACAACCAAATAAACACAACAGAAGCAAACAAAAGAGAAAAAAACAACAAAAATAAAAACACACCCAAATAAATTGTGGGGGGGGAGACTGGGGGCTATACCCAGTGGCTGACTCCTGGTTCTTCACACAG